AAACAGAAAAATAAAACTAAGCAAAAAAGTTTAGCTAACATTCTCTCTAGTGTTGTCAATACCTGGTATTATCTATATATCATTCTAGAATTTTTTTCATTTTTAAAAATATACAAATGCACATAAACTTGTTTCTAATCTACCTAATGTCTTTCAATATTTTATAACTATCCATATTAAAAATTGTCTACATCATTATTTTAAATACTATATGGTACTGCACCACATGAACAAATCACATTTTATATATTCAATCTTATCTTCATAATCACGGCTATATGCTGTTCATTATATTTTCAGGCTACTGCTTCTATTATTATTTTTACCACAACTACTTTCTAGACCACTGTCAGTGAAAGACCATGAGTTTATTTCTAATATTAAATACAAAATATCAAAGTGCAATCCATAAAGAATGAGATTAAAATTCACTATCAACATAAAACTGTTATAACCATATTCCAGATAAGACTGGGTATTTTAAAATTTGGAACAAATATGCTAAAAAGTTACTGTTTTAATTTTTTTATTTCTTTCATTATCAGTGAAACTAAGTATCTTTGCCTGTAATATCCTATTCTTATGGTTCTCTAATATGAATGATCTAGCAAAGAGTATCCCTAGCTTAAAATTACCATTATTCATGGTTCCTCTAGAATCTACAATAGGGTTTCCATGCATAATTATGAATGAGGGTTGACAAAAATGACTTAAAACATGATAGCAGAAATGAGAAGCAAAATTCCAGGGAATAGAAAGGGAGTTAAAATACACAGAAACCCAGAGGTTATCACCTGAGGTAACAGCTCCTCAGAGACGAGAGATAGCCTACCCTTCAAAGTAGGTTGAGCAAACTGTCTTACCATCTGATCACCCTGAGCACAGGGATGTAATTCTTTGTGGAAACAGTGGATCCAACTTCACGCCCAGCAAAGGCAAAGGACACAAAGCTGAGCTAACTGCACCCGCAGTTCCCTGGAGGAAGACATCCTTGGGAGATAGAGCAGCATATGGGAATGCACGACTCCTTCAAACCCTTTTCAATGTATCTTTATTTTGAAGTAAAGTTCAATTGTGCCTTATTTATTTCAAAAACAAGCAAATCAAATTTCCAAATTCAATATGCAAGAAGTGTACTTTTTATAATTTGTTCACCAAAAAAATTATAATTAAATATCAAAAAAGTATTTTACACAGATTTTAGATGGTGGAGTTTAACATGCAAAGGAATCTTAACACAAGTCTTTTGGAGGAAAGCAAATTATTTTAATAATTCCATAATTTGTCTTATAAATACAAGTACCTTCCAACACAACATATTTTTAGAAATACACCAAAGAATGCATCATTTTAATATGCAATATCTTACATAGAAAAATGTTTTAATTGAGTGAAACACAGAAATGACCCAACAATATTAGGAAAAAAAAGATTTAGCAATACAAAAACAAAAAACAAAGATGTAGCAATTAAAATTGCTGAAGTTACTTACAAAGGCAAGCCATTTGATCTGTAAATTACAAGTGAATATACAAGCTGCACTTTATCCAAGGAGCATCTTACGTTGCTTTGCTTTTGTAACAGTGCAGGTTTTATGGTTGCAATGGATGCCACACAGCATTTCTTTAAATAATAGCAGGCAGGACCCTCTCCAAAATCAAGTTTTGGGTCTGGCAGTTGATATCAACACTGTTATTATACTCATAAGTGAAATAAACCAGACACACATGTGTAAATATTGTATAGTTTCCCTAGTATAAGAATTCAAAAGAAGAAATACAAATAGAAAGGTATAATACAAGTAAAAGGAAAGCAGGATCTCGAGGACTAACTAATCAATAGAGGGAAAGGAGAAGAGCTAGGAAACATGACAATGTCAAGCCATACAGTTACATGGAGAAGATGGGCAAGGCAATGATCCTGAGAATCTCCAGAAGATTTTTGAATCTAGCAGTTAATTGGAAAGATTCCCACCCTGACTAACTATATATACTGATACCTGCAAACGAAGCAACTGCACTGCAGATGGTAATCTGTAATAGTAGTTTCATGCTTGGAGGGCCTGTCATTCTGGTCTTCTGAATACGGGCTGCTTGTCAGTTGCTGTTGTGCTGTCTCTCGGGTAGATGATTGTTCAGAAAGAAGGGGGTGGTGAATGAAGGTAAGAGATAGGAAAAGGAATACTGTGGGACTGTCCTGCTTCAAGGTTGTATATGGTTA